ACAACGTGGAGGTCCTAGGGTTAGAGCTCTGTGCACAACGTGGAAGTCCTAGGGTTAGATTTCTGTATACAGCGTGGAGGTCCTGGGGTTTAGATATCTATGTACAACGTGGAGGTCCTGGTGTAAGAGCTCTGTATACAGCATGGAGGTCCTGGGGTTAGAGCTCTGTGTACAACGTGGAGGTCCTGGAGTTAGAAATCTGTGAACAACGTGGAGGTCCTGGGGCTAGAGGTATGTGTACAACGTGGAGGTCCTGGGGCTAGAGATCTGTGTACAACATGGAGGTCCTGGGGTTAGAGGTATTTGTACAACGTGGAGGTCCTGGGGTTAGAGATCTGTGTACAGCATGGTGGTCCTGGGGTAAGAGATCCGTGTACAACGTGGGGGTACTAGGGTTAGAGATCTGTGTACAACGTGGAGGTCCTGGGGTTAGATATCTGTGTACAACGTGGTGGTCCTTGGGCTAGAGATCTGTGTACAACGTGGAGGTCCTGGGGTTAGAGATCTGTGTACAACGTGGTGGTCCTGGGGTTAGAGATCCGTGTACAACGTGGGGGTACTAGGGTTAGAGATCTGTGTACAACGTGGAGGTCCTGGGGTTTAGAGATCTGTGTACAACGTGGAGGTCCTGGGGTTAGAGATCTGTGTACAACGTGGAGGTCTTGGGGTTAGAGATCTGTGTACAACGTGGAGGTCCTGGGGTTAGAGATCTGTGTACAACGTGGAGGTCCTAGGGTTAGAGATCTGTGTACAACGTGGGGGTACTAGGGTTAGAGATCTGTGTACAACGTGGAGGTCCTGGGGTTAAGAGATCTGTGTACAACGTGGAGGTCCTGGGGTTAGAGATCTGTGTACAACGTGGAGGTCCTCGGGTTAGAGATCTGTGTACAACGTGGAGGTCCTGGGGTTAGAGATCTGTGTACAACGTGGAGGTCCTAGGGTTAGAGATCCGTGTACAACGTGTGGTACTAGGGTTAGAGATCTGTGTACAACGTGGAGGTCCTGGGGTTTAGAGATCTGTGTACAACGTGGAGGTGCTGGGGTTAGAGATCTGTGTACAACGTGGAGGTCTTGGGGTTTAGAGATCTGTGTACAACGTGGAGGTCCTGGGGTTAGAGATCTGTACAACGTGGAGGTGCTGGGGTTAGAACTCTGTGCACAACGTGGAGGTCCTAGGGTTAGAAAGTGTGTACAACGTGGAGGTCCTGGGGTTAGAGATCTGTGTACAACGTGGAGGTCCTAGAGCTAGAGATATGTGTACAACGTTGAGGTCCTAGAGTTAGAGATCTGTGTACAACGTGGTGGTCCTGGGGTTAGAGATCTGTGTACAACGTGTAGGTCCTGGGGCTAGAGATCTGTGTACAACGTGGAGGTCCTAGGGCTAGAGATCTGTGTACAACGTGGTGGTCCTGGGGTTTAGAGATCTGTGTACAACGTGGAGGTCCTGGGGTTTAGAGATATGTGTACAACGTGGAGGTCCTGGGGTTAGAGATCTGTGTACAACGTGGAGGTCTTGGGGTTTAGAGATCTGTGTACAACGTGGAGGTCCTGGGGTTAGAGATCTATACAACATGGAGGTGCTGGGGTTAGAACTCTGTGCACAACGTGGAGGTCCTAGGGTTAGAAAGTGCGTACAACGTGGAGGTCCTGGGGCTAGAGATATGTGTACAACGTGGAGGTCCTAGAGCTAGAGATATGTGTACAACGTGGAGGTCCTAGAGTTAGAGATCTGTGTACAACGTCGTGGTCCTGGGGTTAGAGATCTGTGTACAACGTGGTGGTTCTGGGGCTAGAGATCTGTGTACAACGTGGAGGTCCTAGGGCTAGAGATCTGTGTACAACGTGCAGGTCCTGGGGTTAGGTGAATCTTAGCCACTGGTACTTAGAAAGGATTTTGAAGAACACGTGCTGTGGAGATGCATTGTGGGCCAAATTATCTCTGATGAAATTTGAGGACAATCGGATTAAGAGGAACCATTGTTCACACTGTCGCAGGCTACAGACAACCATATCAACATACAGACCGCACCATGCAGTACCTTTCGCATGTTATCACTGGATTATATTAAGTCTTTCAAATACTCTCTAACCGTGAAGATCCGGGTTAGAATAGGTCTTTAGTAACCTATGATTGCCGTAAGAGGCGACTAACGGGATCGGGTGGTCAGGCTCGCTGGATTGGTTGACACATGTCATCGTATGCCAATTGTGTAGATTGATGCTCATGGTGTTGATTACTGGATTATCTGGTCCAGACTGGATTATTTACAGCCCGCCGCCATGTAGCTGGAATATTGCGTGTGGCGTAAAACAACACTTCAATACGACACGACTGTAACATCAGTATAAGGTACAAGTCACTGCGGTCCAGGAGTAGAACCTCAAGTCTCTGTCATTTGGGATGACTGGAATATATCGGAGATGGTTGTGTAAATGCATAGATAGATGGATGAACTGGTGGATAGATGGATTGCTTGGTTTTTGAGTCGGCGAATAGATAAATCGGTAAACGGATCGATGTTGGTGGAATAATTGACTGATAGATAAGTGAGTGGATGGAGGAATGGGTGAATTGGTTTAAGTCGATGGGTGACTTGATGGATAAGATGAATGAATGAGTGACTGAATGGATGGATGAATAGATAGGTCATTTGAAGAATTGGTGGATACATGAGTGAGAGAATGCGTGGATAGATGGATGGATTAATGAATAGACCTGCCGGTGAAAGGTTTGATGGATACATATGTGAGAGAGTGGGTGTATGGATGAACAGATTGAATTTAGTGGGGGGTTTGATGACTGACTGAATGAATGATTGAAAGGACTGGTCGGTAGAAGAAATGATGGATAGATAAATGAATGGATAAATAGGTAAGTGAGTGATGGGATGATGAGATATGTCGGTGCGGTGGATGGTTTCACGAATAGATGAATGATTGAATGGACGGGTGGAAGGTTGAACAGAAAAGTGAGTGAATGGATGAATAGATATGGCGCTGGATGGTTTAGGGGTTGGAGGTTGGAGATGTGTGTGTGGTGGGGGTGGGGGTGGGGGGATGATGATTTTATTGAGTAGCATGTACAATGTGAATGACCCCCCCCACACACACACACACACACACACACAAAAATGGTATGTACAAAGTAAGTGACCCACTACTTGTCATGTACAAATTCAATGACTGCCCAACACAGTGCATGCAAACAAAATTGATGACCCCCTATACCTCCCCAGAACAAAATGGGTGAAACCAAACCACCCCCGACCATCACATTCCAATCCCCCCACCCCACCACTACCACTTTCCCTCATGGAAGCCTGAATACTATTACAGCTAGGTGAATACCATCATCACTGACTTTATACTGCAGTGTCATTGTGTTTATGCTGCTATTGAATCTGTACCGCCACTCAAGTTTATAGTGCCATTGTTATTCCTTTGGTTTGAAACCGCCTCCGTGGTGTAGTGGTTAGAGCGTCCTCCCGGAGAGCGGAAGGTCGCGGGTTCAATCCCCGACCGCGTCATACCAAAAGACGTTAAAATATGGTACTTGTTGGTCCCTGCCTCGCGTTCGGCATTAATGGGTACAACAAGGACTGGTCGGCTCGGAGTCAGTATAATGTGTCTGAGTGGGGTATTCATGCTTCACTGCGGCATGGTATCTCAGTGGGCTAGCACTATAAAACCAGCTTCAGTCTGGGCTAGTACAAGTAGCCGCACATACACATACACGCGCATGCACGTCGTCATATGAGCGAAATATTCTCAAGCACGACGATAAACCCAATTTCACTTCACCTCACCTTTGGTTTGATTTGATTTGTAAAGTTTTAATTCTTAGTTGCTTTACGGTTCACACCACATTATTTTACTTACAGATTTCGGGCTAACCTATTTTTCAACTTTTGGGCATCGGGACTGCTGGTTATGATGTGGCCAATGCACTTGAGTAAATGTTTGCTAACATAATTCACCTATAGATCCGCTGCTGATCCCTGTTTAACCCGAGTGTCGGCCACACAACAGCCGGGTAATACCATCTCATATAGCTGATAACGGGGGCTTTGATGTATCACCCGTACAGAAGCGCCCCTGACAAGTGTCTTACTTTCCCAAATAAATTGCTGGATGGTATGGGTATTTTATGGGTATGCTTTAAATGTTGGCTATTGAGTGTTGGTGTTGAGTGAGAGTGTTGGTGGTGAGTGAGTGAGTGAGTGAGTGTGTGCAGTCCTGCACTACAATGCAACCGGCAACATTCTCACTAGACCAGCAGTGAGCGAATTCAGGGTGAGGTAAACGATTAGTGAGTCAGTGAGTGAGCGCGTACATGGGTGGGCCTATGGGTGCGTGGGTGAGTGAGTGAATGAATGAGTGAGTGAGTGAGCGAGTACATGGGTGGGTGTATGGGTGAGTGAGTGAAGCCCCCTTATCATTGCGTGTCACTTTACTGGGGGAAAATTCGCAACCACAGGTAAAGCGTGAACAATGTCAAAACCCAGAAACATTACGATTCTGGAATACTCAGCTCCCAGGGAGTGGACATCAATGGCTGCCTTTCGAGTGTTACTAAGGGTTTCCGAGAAAGGTCTGCCCAGGACGAACGAGTGATTCTACTGACTGTCTATTGAAGTACCGACGGCCAAATCACAATGCTTACAGGCTGTTGATTTCTTGTTTTGGGGTGTGTTTTTTTAAAGAATTAACAAAGTTACCTATATAAGTTGTTTGTTTGTACTTCAGTTGTACTGCAATTTTTCTCCGTGTCATAATTAATGTATATTCATATTAATAAATAAAACTGAAATCTGGAGTCCCATTAAGGGAATATTTCAGGCACACAATATAAATGGATACTTACTTCTGTTTGTGTTTGAAAGGAAGTGCGAAAACTACCGCTTGTCAAAGTAGCGACCATGTTATTTTATGTGCGCTTTTTTCACTCGACCTTACAGGAAGTTGTCAAGGTGAACCCTGGGGGGAATTTAGAGTTGTCCGCCCATTGTTTCCAAGGACAACAACAATCATGGCGTCCGGCGAAGCAATGAGGATCGAAGTTTTTGGTCTCCTGAATGATATCAATTTTGTTAGAGCAAAATGTTGTGCAGAGGTTTGTAAATGTATTTTATTTAAATATGAAATCTATATTACTACCTTAAAAAGATTTTAAGAATAAATATATGCGAATCAGCAAGAACTTAGAATCATAACAGTAACTGTTCAACGGCAACACTTCTAACAGTTGAACACTGATGTCGAAACATCTGATTTTTATCATCTGAACTTGAGAATATTCAATTGCTGTTTAGATAAATATAAATCACGTCCATGTCTGCATTTGTAGACTCAGATTATGCAATATCATGCACACATCTTTGCATGTTTTTGAAACCTTCAGACTGGATTTATTATGAGTTCTCAGTTAGGCTGCAGGATGCTATATTTATGCCATATGCTTGAAATCAGTGATTTGAATGACAGATTTGTGTCTAAAGCTCAACGGTTGCTGCAGAATTCTAAAGGTTTGGCTTATATATCACCGGTTTAAATGTCGGAAACATTTAGTTGATTCATTCACTGAACAGCACAAAAGATATATCAGTACACATTCATTACACTGGTCACATACCTACTGTATTTGATTAGCTAACATTCTTCCCTAACCCTAAACCTAACCCTAAAACCCTCAAAGTTATCCTAATAAATAAAATAACTTGACCAAAGCTGTGAATAATGGAATATTACGGAAGGCCACTGTCCGGTGTAATGCATTCTTACTGAAATATCCATACAGGTACTGGTATATGTTTATTTGGTAAGACTACAGAATACCGGATACCTTCTGACATCTTTGAAAGCACGAGAGTTTACTTAAGGTTAGGGTAAGCTTTAGGGTTAGGGTAAGGTTTAGGGTTAGGGTTAGGGTTAGGGTGACATGACACTAAACAATATGGCTGGTAGGTGTCCGGTATTCTGTGGGTGCACCTGTTTATTTAATGTCCTGGTTTTGTGTTCAAAACAAGTTTTATTATCCATTTTGAAGAAATAGTACAGATACAATAGTATTATGTATTTTCATTTTGTTACTTTCCAGGATTTGTATGAGAAGGATTCACAGGTGTTTGAAGCGCCAGTTATTTATGGCATGGTGGAATTTGACTGGGACATTTTCATTACTGAAAAGAAAAAGGTAAAGTGTAAATATAGTTGTGATATGAAAAGCAGCTTTGTTCTGCAAGAGAATTGCGAACAAAGGATTTCAAAATGGTAAAAGTTGCTAAACTGGCGAGAATTTTGGTATGTCTAGACTCGTCATTCAGTGATGAGTGTAAGACTAAAATTGTTCTGAGTCTCCAGGTCAAAAAAAATATTCCAGTCCAATGATTATGGGTATATATCACAGATTTACCCTGATTATCATGATTATGATTATTTGTCATAATCTGTGCTTGACTTGGGCTTCAGAAACATGGATGGTTTGTATGACTTGCATCAGACTTTCCCCCATCATCAACCTGTGAAGATCCATTGGTCTACAGCAACCCACGCTTGTCATAAGAGGCGACTGGTGGGATCGGCTTCGTTGGTGAATGTGATTGTTTCCAAGTAGACTAAGGCTTATTCTTTGAATATATAATTTGATTGTAACAAATAAACCCATTTAAATTGAAAAGGAGCCCAAGGGAGACCAGAGATTCAGAGGAAATGTAGACTTGCTTCATTTAGGGCTTTAGCATTGCATGGAGGGCTAGGCAGAAGGGAAAATAATGTGGTTCAGGGACTGTGATACAGACTAGTTTCCAAGTTGAATAGATTGATACTCATGATGTCAGTCACTGGATTAACTGGTCCAGATTTGATTGTTTACAGACCGTCGTGGAGTTAAACAACAAACAAACACATCATCAACCTGACATCCCATGAATATCATTACTGTAATATTGCTGTCAGTGTAGTTTAGTCCACCATATTCACAGAAGATATCTAACCATTTGTTTCAGGAGTTGAGGGGTGAGGCGTGGGTATTTGAAGACAAAGCAATAGCATTTGTGAGTGGTCAACTGATTGGTGGACCGGACGACTTCATCCTGTGGGCCGAAGACAACTACAGCTTTGAAGAATTCCGGCCGCTTCCTCTGTATCAGACACTCACTGAGGAGGGATACAAAACTCACCTCAATTCAACTAACGTAAATACTAGCTCCATGATACTGTTTTAGTTTCATGGATATATGCGCATTACAAGTGTTACTATTATTATTATTAGTGGGATTTAAACTTTCTTCTTTTCTGAATATGCACATGATTCCTTCCTCCTGTTAATTCTTATATCAAGTATTAAATATATAAGGGACCAGTCATTAATTACAGGTGGTCTGGGCAGGGGCTAGGGGGTTTTGATGCTCTGAAAATAATTACCCTCACCAACTGTTTGCCATATTACAAATTATAAAATCATATTTTAAAATTATATCTTCAAATTTCCATTTTTTACATGACCCATCCCTAATATGTGTATTTTTTCCTTATTCAGCCTTAGATTCAGGGGTGGAAATAACTTTAAAATTGCTAGTGTACTCCGGTACAGTGGCACATGTAAAATCACTTGCCCTGATCATTTTTCCACTATACCGGCCGTTTTCTTGTTTCTTTTTTAAATAAACAACATAATTAACATTGGAATATCAACTGGACATCGGTACAGTGTGATATACAAATTTGCTTGCCCGACAGAAAAAAACAATGGACTCGGGGGTCTGGCAATGGGTTATTTCCACCCCTGAGATTGTGGGTGATACTCCCATGACTCACTCTCAATAAGTAATGTGACTGTTATGCATAAAACTGACTGGATTAATTACTTTGCATGCATGGAGATGTTCCTGTGATAATTTGTCATAAAAGTGGGTTTTCAGATTAACAAGGTTACTATTGACACATCATCACTGTAGACAAAAGCATGTGATCATTCAAACAAATGTCAGTCTCACATGATATTATTTGTTGCATTTTCAGCATGACTTTGTGTACATGGATATAAAAATAGGCCAGGAACCAGCTGGGAGATTAGTTATAGAAGTAAGTAAAACATGCCTTCATATACATTAGGGCCGGTGGGGTAGCCAAGTGGTTAAAACGTTGGCTCGTCACGCCAAAGACCTGGGTTTGATTCCCCACATGGGTACAATGTGTGAAGCCCATTTCTGGTGTCCCCAGCCATGACATTGCTGGAATATTGCTAAAAGCGTCATAAAACCATACTCACTCTGTGTAGTTTCAACTATTTTCCTAATGTGTCAAAAAAGACCAGAAAAACTTGACTAAGAAAATCTTTATTAGTTTATGATGTTTATAATTTTTGCAGGAGCCAGAAATTGCGTATGTTTATGTAAAACTTTTCTTTCCTGTGAGGTATTTGTGAAAATGGTTAATGGATTTATAGTTGTTTATACTGTTTTATAAGATGTTTAGTTATAATTCTGTTGCTGATGTTTCCAGTGATGTCCTGACTAATGCACTAATCGCAACGTTCCTATTGTAGCTGTTCACAGAGGATGTTCCCAGAACGTGTGCCAACTTCAAGGCCTTGTGCACAGGGGAGAAGGGCGAGTCACCTGAGACTCGGTACAAGCTCTCTTACAAGGATTCCTTGTTCCACAGAATCGTTCCCAATGGCTGGATTCAAGGAGGAGGTAACTCATGTCTGACTACATTTTCCAACACGAACAGATGTTCAGTCAGTTTTGTTTCTAAACAAATAAAGAAATGTATTATTTGGACAATTTCATAAAATCTTTTTTACATGATGGTCAGGTAATAGTTTAATTGTGAAATAAAATTTAACTTCTCAATACTTCAATACTCTGTGACTCAGCTCTCCAATAAAGGGAACATTGTGTTTTTTTCTACAATGACAGGCTCATTTTTGACAGGTTAAACTGGAACTTAATTATCAATTTTAGAACCACTTGCCTCCCTCTCCTTTGAAAATTGCTTCAGTAAAAGACATTTTGAGATTTTTGCAATTCAGATCTGAAGCCTTGAATATAATAAGTCTGACTCAAATTCTGTTTGGTTTAGTAAGCCTAGCTAATATCAGTGCTTTATAATAGCATAACAAATGTTCTGAAAAAATGGTGTTTAGAGCCATTGGCAGCCTGGCAGCAGATTAATATTACATTTGAAGTGGAACATGAAGAGTTTGACAAAGAGATTGTATATTTTGTAGGAAATAAAGGGAGATAACTCCAGCAAGTTTAAATTCATTCCACTGCACATTCACCAAAACCTTGTCTCATAGCAACCGTTTTGTAAGAGTCTACAGCCAGCCATGACAACAATATCATTTCCACTTAATACTTGTGACTCACAATTTTAGACTCGGTAGAAACAAATGTCATTATAATGTTGCAAAAGATCATCTTTAAACAATGGGGAATTAATTATTTTCTGCTTATCAAGGCAAGCTGTCATTCTGTTCTGATAATTTGATCCTCAAATATTATCCAACTTATTAAGTTTTGGGCGGTGGAATAGCCAGGCAGTGGTGGCTAGTTAGCATTCACTCAAAGACCAGGGTTTGATCTCCACATGGTTACAATGTGTGAAGCCCATTTCTTATAAGAGTCCCCAGCTATGATATCGCTGGAAGTTTCCTAAAAGCTGTGTAAAATCATACTCACTAATGTGCGTATGTGTATCAGATATGCTAATTATCTCTCAGTGGATTTATTTGATAGCTCTGCTTAGGTTAGGTAAGTGCTTTTGGGTATTTCAGCACAAGACGTAATTGGGACCGTTCATAATCTATGGCTAGGGTCGGGGTGAGGATAAGTTATGAATTCTCCCTAAATTCAGTTGACAAAATCCAGTACATAATTTCTTTTGGGCCAAGTATAATGTTGATATGTATTCACTTATATTTGTTTACTTTCCATCAGATATTTACCATGGGCGAGGCAATGGAGGCGAGTCTATCTTCGGGCCAGTCTTTGAAGGTAAATCTAATGTTTGACCTGCCTTGTATACTCTCATGACCTGTCTGACCTACAGACCACTAACTTAGTATGTTTGTTTGCTGCCTCAGTCCAAGGGTAGATAATTTAGTGTTTTCTGCATGATGAGCAAACACTTTAACCACTAAACAAGCCCGGAGTGACCAGTACTCCTTAACATTAGTAATTAGTGGGGAGTGACATGATGTGCCCTGCTGGTCCATGGTTGCAGAGTGTAGAAGGTCAATACGATGGTCAGATGAGGACTGAAATGGGGATTACCATCATATAAGCAATGACAGTGAAATGCTTCAAGACATTTATATCATTGCTACCTTTATATTAGCCTTTAGTTAGGAATTAATTGTAATATTCATCAAGAGGTGCCGTGAATTGGTCGCTATGCCAATCGCCTAACCAAGTCCAGGTTTCAGTACCGTGTATTTTGTACCGTGACTGCAGACTTGTTAATGTTTTAATACAGCAACTCTGTTGGCGATATATTTACAGATGAAAACTTCTCGGTGCCCCACAACAAGCGAGGGATAGTCAGTATGGCCAACAACGATCGACACACGAACGGCTCCCAGTTCTTCATCACACTCCAGCCAGCTAAATGGATGGATACCAAATATGTTGCATTTGGGTGAGTGAAAGCATGGCAATACTTGTACACTCCCCAGGGAGTTGGGAATACAAAATTGAATGCACACTGATCCACTCACATGGATAGTAATGGTACTTGCTCTGCGTGTACATTAGTGTTGGGAATTGGTTAAAATCTCATAATTGATGATTGGTTCATTACAACCTATCAATCATCGAAAATAATTGGTTTGCGTCATTTATCAAATGTTCCTGTTATCTTTGTTAATGCACACACAAAAAATAAAGAAAAAACGTGTAGTAATTTGCAATTGGGTCTTTTGCAAATTGCACAAAATCAATTGGCAAATTTCGCATATTTAAAGGATGATTAGTATGTTAGGAACACAGATTTCCTAGATTCTTTAAGATAAATTCAATCATGACTTGGAACGAGCTTGTAGTGCTTATGAAATGTAAATTTAATGACACAGACAAAACCAACCTTGTGTAAAATATTGTTGATGCAAACAAGTGTTCCAAAATTGTTTGTGTTCGATTATGAGAAAACACAATCGCTTGCTTGGTCGTTTAGGCACTCCGACCAATCTTCAATTATTTCAATTAATCGGACCACCACTAGTATACATAATGATCAAGTATATAATTGTTATACTAATAATCATCATCAGCATATGCACCAACACCATCACCAACAAGTAAAAAAGCGTGAGGTACTGATTGTCTTTGCCATAGTGAGTGAGTTTAGTTTAATACGCCACTTTTAGCAATATTCCAGTAATATCACTGCAGGGGACACCAGAAATGGACTTCACAGAATGTACCCATGTGGGGAATCAAACCCAGGTCTTCAGTGTGACAAGCAGACGCTTTAACTACTAGGCTACTCTATCGCCCCCTTTGCTATAAGTTTTGGGTTCAAACTCGTGATAGGTGGTTATGTGATAATAATCAGTCATTATTGGTGGTTGTTTTGTTATCCAGTATTAACAAAATATTGATTGTTGTGAATGTGACGCATGGAGAAAATATCGGGTTAGATTTTTATACGCATCAATTTACTTTCATTTTTTGAAGCTGGGAAAGTTATTCATGCTCCCATATCAAGAATACGCACTGAATGTCACGTATATGAAAAGTTATCATCACAGTATTGGTAATTTGAAATACAAACATGGATTTTTTGTGTAGAATTAAGCGAACTTTATTGCATCATTTTAGGATTAGTTAGAAAGTGGTTTGTACATATTGATGGCATTATGAAGGGTACAGTAAGCATGGTAAGAGTATTGGCATTATCAAATGGTTAGTCCATGTTCGAGTGATCATCAATGGACAACACATGCTGTTTGGTATTTCACTCAATGATTGGCATGTTAAATGGGTTATCTCATTTTCATGGCATTAAAATGATGATTTTGATGTGGGCATGTTGCAGCCAGGTGATCGAAGGCACAGAGACGTTACGCAAGATGGAGGAGCAGGAGGCGATGAACCAGCGACCCAACCAGGAGATCAGAGTCACTGACTGCGGAGTCTGCACTTACGAGTTTTGAGATCACTTGAAAGATTTTCTTGACATAAGTTACAATTGATAAGCCGAAATTCAGATCATGTTTTTTACGTTTATATTTTAAACCATGATACAATAAGATGTACATATATGTCTATTTATGTGTACACCTGAGAAGAGAGAAAAGAAAAGAGCAATCCCAACATGGTTGTTTGCTATAAATAGATTCCGACACATTACAGCTGTAGACGTGGAATTGGTACAAATAACAAGTCTATGTGAAAGGTTTATGTATCATTTTTGATGCAAGTAACTCCTTTTAATGAAGATCATTATTGTATTGGCTTCACGGAGGGGAGGTAACTTTGAAATCAACAGAACTGTAAAAATGTGGGTGTATATTGTATCGTTTAGTTTTTATTGGATCTCTTTGCATTGTCATATAGTTTTAAATATTGTATATTTTTCATACTGGATTAAAAGAAATCAACTTGAATGTGCTTTTTGTATTCTTTTCATAATTACAGTGAAACAGGCTTTCACTCGGTATTCAGAATTATTGCATTCGTAGAAGTCCGTTCCAGTGCCAGTTTTGAATTAATGATGACATTACCTCGGCTGCCCATAACAGAAGGTATCCATTTCAAGGTTCTCATTCATGTATCATGGAATAATAATTCATACGAAAATTCATTATTTACGATAACCATCCAAGCAACATGTCAGCACAATTAGTGCCAGTTAAATTAGGAAGCTTCCAGGACATGTGTCAACACAATAAGTGCCAGTTGAAATAGGATTAGCAGGATTAAGTAATCCCCTGTCTGGTCATTTCATTTGTAGGACACACCCCATACCGCATATTCTGTATTTCATTGGTTAGTATAGGGAACACCCATTTTGTATCATTCAACGAATCATAATCTTTTTATTGTTTCAATTTTAGATAAATAGTCACCAACTCCATTTGTTCGTCAGTAGGGTTTAGACTCCCAACACAGGTCAGCTCTAACCCTCAGCCCAGAGGGTTGTACCGACTCTCTGTGGCCACCCCATGTTATTTTTGTTCTTGTTAATAAAACTGTAATTAGCTTCTTGTGACTTCGGACTCTTTGCTGAGCTAATTCCCCCAAGCAGACCAGCACGCCAGTTAGGTAAGGGGTTTCACCAGAACCCTCACTTGGACCCAAGACCCATATCATAATACATGTATACAATTCTCTGTACGGACCGGCGCCAGTGTATCTTGCTTACCTCGTTCAGGCCTATGAACTTTGATCTCTACGATCTGAGGATCAGAGACTTTTTCAAACATCTAAAATCAAACACAAAAACAGGAGATAAAAAATATGGCGATCACACCTGTGGAATAATTTACCACCAATGTTTAAACACCTCATTTTTACTTGCTGTTTTTTAAAATTACCTAAATCCATTTCCCCGGAGTAATGGATGCTTCAATGCCAAGAGTACAATCGCTTTGGCTGAGGTGATGAGAACTTCTTACTTTAGGTTTCAGTAAGATGTAGTTTCTGATAATTAAATGCTAACTTTTTGAATTTTGATATAATAAGGCCAACCCTTCGGGGTTTGCGACCTATGGACAATTTAGGAAGTATTAAATGTTTTCAGGGAATAGAAATATTTTTTTCTTTGTAATTAATGCTTTATTCTGTGTTCCTGTTACGAACGGTGCTTGGTTCAAATTAGAAAACATGTACAGACAACTTTACAACGCAGAAGCAAGGTTATTAAACAAATGCAAGTTCCAAAAGCTGTTGTTATGCATGTAAGTTCTATTAGTAAGGTTCATATTAGAAGCATAGGTATTATATAGTCTCAGATATTCTTAAACTTAACAATGACATAGCCGCTCTCATTCATGCTCAGTGAGTGAGTGAGTTTTACCCCGCTTTTAGCAATATTCCAGCAACATCACGGCGGGGAACACCAGAAATGGGCTTCACATATTGTACCCATGTGGGGATTCGAACCCAGGGTTTTCAGCGTGACGAGCGAACGCTTTAACCACTAGGCTACCCCACCGCCCCATTCATACTCAGATTCACATACATTCTGTACTAACACATACAAGCTTTAATATTGTCACATAAATTTAAGTAATCAAGAATTACTAGTCAAAACTTTAATTTATAAATATATATATATATAGACGTTACGTTATCAACAGTATGTATATTTTACTTTAAGCCAAACAGATTAAGTTGCAGGTCAAATTTCAAATTATGGATTTTCATAATGCAGGCTTAAGTTTGATTGTTAGAAGCCTTGAACCTGTTTTCACTCCCCAAATAAGTGGGTTATTATTTCAACCTCACTTTTACAAAAGCATACAAGAGCAGAAATAGCTATGGGTTAAGATCTTTTATCAAAATAAGTTAGTTGATATAGTCCTGTGAATAATTCAGAACCGAACCCGTGTAGTATCTAAAGTAGTATAAAGTGGTTTAAGTGGTATTTTCCCCGCTCTAATTCAGGGAGAACACATTCCTCCCACTTATGTTTATATTTAAGGTGAGTATCAAATGCATTCAAGATAAATAATAAACACCTTTCGTAACTGATAGCAGTTTTCTGGTAAGTTCCAGTTGGATAGAAGATGTGGGTTTATTTATTTTCAGGTATCTTGTTTTTTTCTTTATAGCCTGGATTAAGCCTTGATAATGAAGGAAGTTGACAAGTGCAAAAGTGTATTTGAATTGCTCAAGTGATAGGTAGGTTCCTTCGGGATTTATAAAGTCTCGCATTTGGCTAAGACTTCTATCAAACCATTTACAATAAAAGATAATCCATTTACCAGCGCTGGAGTCTGTTGTAAAAAATGGATTCAGTTAGAACGTCATGAAATGATTAAGGCTGTATTGTTTTTAGTACTTATCAAAGGCAATGACAGGGTTCAACCAAAAAACATGATTGATTATATTAATGCTTTGAATAGAAAATCATTGCCAAATACGTCTAGATTTTGACAGTACGGAAAAAACCGGGAAAGCAATCTTTTCTACTTTGATACATTTTGTGACGTTTAACAGTTTTCTCATCCACGATAGCTTCAATGAACTGCCTAGGGAAAAAATTGAACCACACCATGGATGATGATGATGATGGTGATGATGATGATGATGATGATGATGATGATGATGATGATTTGGAGAAATAATGCGTATTTCGCAGGTGGACCTCCTTGGGAACAGAACTATTGATTAGTATTAAATAAATCACAAGATGTCGTCTTCACCATTTTCATCAGCATGTGGAAGTAGGTCTGGGCGTCTCGTCTCGCCATCAGTTCCTCGGCTTCTTGTTGGTCAACATTTTCCATCCTGTACAATAACACTACCCATGACCCGTACCAGCCTGGTTCTAGCTGACGCTGAGTTGGTTCGTTAGAGTAAGGGGTGAGTGAGTGAGTTTAGTTTTACGCCGCACTCAGCGGGGATGGGGGGGTGGACACCAGATATATTTCAGGTTTATATCTGCGGTGTGTAAATAATCGAGTCTGGACCAGAGAATCCAGTGATCAACAACATGAGCATCGATCTACGCAATTTGGATACGATGACATGTCAACCACATCAGCGAGTCTGACCACCCGATCCCGTTAGTCGCCTCTTACGACAACCATGGGTTGCTGAAGACCAATTCTAACCCGGATCTCAGGGTAAAGGACGACATAAGGATCGGGCGGCTACCATCTACGAAGACCTAGTTGCGGGTACAGCAACGTGCAGTGAACTTGGACAAAGTACTGTGACTATGTGTCCCAGTCCACCCAGCTGTGAATGGGTACCTCGTTAGGATGAGGAAGCAACAATAACTCGGTGCGCCTAGTGGCTGCAAGAGTTGTATACTCCCCAGGGAGTTGAGATTGATATCCAATGATCGAGGGGAAAAATACCAGCGCCTTGAGCATGCACTAGTGCGTGGATATGTGCGCTATATAAACATCCTATAATAATAATATAAAAAAAAAAAATTCCGCGTGACTGACTCGTGAGATGTTTCACCGTATTACATTCACTAGTTGACAGGCCCAGACTATACAACATGTAAACCAGTTCATCTGCACTCTTGAAAACGTGTATGTTTCTTTGAATATCAGATCGACACAAGATTTACTAAATCTCAAAACACCCATCCCAGGTTATCATCAACTCATCAATGAGTGAGTGGGCCAGTGAGTATGATGTTACGCCGCTTTTAGCAATATTCCAGCAACATCACGGCGGGGAACACCTTTTGCCCATGTGGGGAATCGAACCCGGTCTTCAGCCTGACGAGCGGACGCTTTAACCATCAGGCTACCCCACCGCCATCGACTCATCAAAGAACACATTAAATATTCCACCATAATCATGTATGTTTATAAATACAGTGTACTACATTGTTTTAAAACTATGAGCTGACCCATTTTGTAGTTAACTGCACATGGTTTCTCAAATCTATCGAAACCTGAATCTAATCAAAGCAACTTCCCCCTGTTTGTTTATATGTCCCTCAACCTATGATGTGTAAATCACTTGTTTGATAACGGTGTCAATGCTTCCACCGAAACGTCGCTCCTGTTGTAATAAGGAAGTTATTCATGATTATATTTTATCCTTAGTTAACACTAAAATGTCTTATTTCTCATCTTTTCTGTACAAGAACTCGGAATACAAAACGCTGAACAAAACATGTGGTCCACTTTATATACCAAAGGCATGGAGAGCACGTGACGTCCCATTATATACAAGCACATGCGAATGGACAATTTGAAGACATCCGTGTTTGTTTGTTTGTTTGTTGTGTAAAGCCGCACTCAGCAATATTTCAGCAACATGGCTCAGGCCGGTAAATAATTGTCTTGTCCAGACAATCAAGTGATCGTGCAACAGCATGAGTAGGGGGTGGGTATTGCAGAGAATTTTCATATTGCGATACATTGCGATGCGAAAGCATGTATTGCGATATGAATTGCAATATATTGCATGAAGTATTTTTAAACAAAAAACTACTTATAATAGAGTTAATTCTTGATTTATAGAGCATGAGCATCGATCAATTGGGATCAAACAAAAATGCTTTCTTGGCTGTGGACATCTTTTGATAGTTTTGTTAGGACAGTCTGCTCGTGGAATGGTGTCTTCATTATTACCCTGCGTTGCTTATACACCATGCGCATTGATGACGTTAGAGAACGGCAATGTGTGAGCGAGCTGTATAAAGGTGCTCTCAACAGGGAACGGTAAAGGTAAGTGTTGGCATCATTGATAACTCAGTGGGGGAAGACCTGGGTTCGATTCCCCACATGTGTACAATGTGTAAAGCCCATTTCTGGTGTCCCCCGCCGTGATATTGCGGGAGTATTGCTAGAGCGGCGTAAAACCATACTCACTCACTCACTGGGATTGTATGTCAGAATGATTGTCACATATGTTACATTAGGGATTACACTTTCTCAGTAAAACACAGATTTTAGTACTTTGGGGGTTG